AGTGCTGGCCCGTCTCCAACATTTAGAGCCTTGTGATGTCATAGATGGTGACCAACTAAAATAAGCAGGAGGGGAGTGAGGAGGCGGATAGCAGCTGTTTGTCCTGTGCCAGATTCATCTATTTCCATAAATTTTCTGATTTGCTCCCCATAACAACAGTAGTGAGGCAGGAAAGGGTTAACTGGAGAAGCTGAGAAAAGCAAATTCCAAAACTCTTTGATGGTCCATGACCTTGAGGGAGGGAGGGGACAAAAAAAAAATAGGAGCTAATTGGGAAAGCTGGGAAAGAAATTGCAAGCTTAAAAAGAACTTCACCGAGAAGCTGTATACAAATATAACGGCCAGCTGGCCTACACAGCAGGCGACTTCAAAACCGCTCTAAGGGCCCCTCACCCAAGAGGTTTCAGCTCCTATGAAATCGCAGCCCCAATCTGAGCTTTGATTCTCGATCTCGATTTTCTTTTCCTGTATAAACCTTTGCTCTTACACTTATCTGTGTGTGCCTCACTGAACTCAGAACCTGTACGGGACCTCATCCTTCCACTCTCGACTTCCACCATGCCAGGATATGGGTGCCGTTCTTCTCCTCATTCCACAGAAGGAACGGGGGTGGGGGGGTGGGGGGCCTGTTGGATTTGCCCAGTCTGCAGGGAGTAAGCAATGGAACGGGGAGTCGGACTCAGCGGCCAAACCTCTGAGCCTGTACCACTCACCGTGTCACCGTTCTGAGCACCGCTCTACGCCAGGCGAGGTGCTAGGCCTAATCCTCACAGCCCTGCGTCTTGAACGTTTCCCTGCCAGTCACAGAGGGCCAATTACACCTCTGAGGTTGATCCCAGGCAGTGGCACAGATGGGACTGAAATTCAGGTCTCAACTCAGGTCCCCTGGGCTCTCAGGCAGAATTATTTCTCATCACTCACCAGAAGATGGCACCTTAGGTCAGAATGAGAAAGCATCTCACGGCTCATGCTCCTCTGAACACTGAGGAACCTACAGGATCTGTCTTAGGTGAGACGTGGGAACGCATCAGAGTGACATCAGTCCTCCTCTGGGTCTGTAGGGCTGCAAACTTCCCTGCAGCCCTCAGAATCCCATTCCAATTTTTCCATCACCTGTATTACACGGTGGCATTCCTAACTGAAATATATATTTTAAGATTTATATTTATTTAAAATAGAGAGATGGGGAGAGATTTTCCATCAGCTGGTTCATTCTCCAAATGGCTGTGTCAGCCTGGGCCACACCAGGCCGAAGCTGGGAGCTTCTTCCGAAGCTCCCATGTGGATGCAGGGACCCAAGCACTTGGGCCATCTTCTGCTACTTTCCCGGGTGCATTAGCAGGGAGTGGAGCAGCCGGAAATTGACCTGGTGCCCCTATGCGATGTTTTGCCACAGGCAACAGATTAACCCATTACACCACAACACCAGCCCCCTAATTAAAATATCTGAATGGTGGCTATTTGTATTAGCAGTAAAGACACCACTTGAGACGCCCACATCCAGAGTACCTGGGTTCTTGGTTGTGCTTCTGATTTCAGCTTCCTACTGAGGTGCACCCTGGGAGGCAGCAGGTGATGGCATGTAGGTCCCTGCCACCCACAGGGGAGAACTGGCCTGACTTCCTGGCTCCTGGCTTCTGCCTGACCATCTGGGGAGTGACCCAGCAGATGACAGATCTCTGCCTGCCTTTGAAACTAAATCGTATATATAAACATGGCATTTCAGAGTTGGAAGGAAACTCAGTACCACCTGGGCCCACAGATGAGAGGTGGGCCAGCTCAGAACAGCAGGCACAGAGCAGTGCCCTGCCCCCTGCCCACTGTACCACACTGCCCTTGCTTCTCCACCTCCAGTCTTCACTACCCTTTCTCTGCTTCTACCTCTTTTGCTTTTGAAAAATGGGAATGAAACCCTGAATCCCTGTAGTCAGCTCAGATTCTGCTCACACTCTCCAAATTAGCAACTAAATATTACGTGTTCTGCCCTATGATCTTGTAATCTCCCTGACTTTTCTCTCCTTTCCCATCTCCTAACTCATTTGGCCTTAGTTCCTTCTCCATTCCCTCCTTGAGCTTTGGTAAGGGAACTGCTTGAGATGCTTATTTTTTTTTTTTAAGATTTATTTTATTTAGTTGAAAGAGTTACAGAGAGAGGTTGAGACAGCGAGGTCAATCTTCTATCTGCTGGTTCATTCCCCAGATGGCCACAACGGCTGGAGCTGCGCTGATCCTAAGCCAGGAGCCAAGAGCTTCTTCCGGGTCTCCCACACGATTGCAGGGGCAGGGGCCCAGGGACTTAGGCCATCTTCTACTGCTTTCCTAGGCCATAGCAGAGAGCTGGATGGGAAGAGGAGCAGCCGGGACTAGAACCAGCGCCCATATGGGATGCTGGCGCTTCAGGACAGGACTTTAACCCACTGCGCCATAGCACCAGCCCCTATTTTTAATTAATTAATTTTATTTATTTGAAAGTTACAGAGACAGGTGGAGACAGAGGTCTTCCATCCACTGGTTCATTCCCCAGATGGCTGCAACGGCCAGAGCTGCGCCGATCTGAAGCTAGGAGCTTCTTCTCGGTCTCCCACATGGGTGCAGGGGCCCAAGGACTTGGGCCATCTTCTACTGCTTTCCAAGGTCACAGCAGAGAGCTGGATGGGAAGAGGAGCAGCCGGTACTAAAACCAGTGCTCATATTAGATACTGGCGCTTCAGGCCAAAAGGGAGCTGGATCAAAGTGGAGTAGCCAGGTCTTGAACTGGCGCCCATATGGGATGCTGGCACTGCAGGCCAGGGCTTTAACCTGCTGTGCCACAGCACCAGCCCCTACCTTGCGCGTATCTGTATCCGTGCTCAGAACAGCAGAGTGGACAGCGTGAGAGAGAGGAGGACCAGGAGAGAAAGTCCTCCTTGCTGTTGGTTACCCTCCAAATGGCCGCCGCGGCTGCGTGACTGTGGACCGGCGCACCGCGCTGATCCGATGGCAGGAGCCAGGTACTATCCTGGTCTCCCATGGGGTGCAGGGCCCAAGCACTTGGGCCATCCTCCACTGCACTCCCGGGCCACAGCAGAGAGCTGGCCTGGAAGAGGGGCAACCGGGACAGAATCCGGCGCCCCGACCGGGACTAGAACCCGGTGTGCCGGCGCTGCAAGGCGGAGGATTAGCCTAGTGAGCCGCGGGGCCGGCCAGTTTTTTTTTAAAATAAGTATTTATTTATTTGAAAGGCCAAGTGACAGAGATCCTTGGAGCCAGCATTGTAGCTGGCATGGTCAGTTAAGGCGCCACTTGCAATGCTGGCATCCCATCCTGAGTGCCAGTTTAAGTCCCGGCTGCTCTGCTTCTGTCTCCTGCTAATGCACCTGGGAAGGCAGTGAGACTGTTCAAGTACTGGGGCCTCTGCCACCCACCAGAAGACCAGGACGGAGTTCCTGGCTCCAGGCTCAGCTCTGCTGCTGTAGCCATTTCAGGAGTAAATGACGGGATGAAGATCTCTCCTGTCAATCAGCCAAACAAATCTTTAAAATGAGGATAATACTGCTCCACATTACAAGTGATGAGAATTAAACTAGGATGACCTGGAATAAGATGTTTCCTATGGGGCAGGTGTTGTGGTGTGGCATTGGATGAGGTCTCGCCTCTGCGCCCCATCCAGCTTCCTGATGCACCTGGGAGACGGCAGATGATGGCCACCTGCGCGGGACCTGGAGTTCCCGGTTCCTGGCTTTAACTTGGCTGATCCCTGCTGTTGCATGCATCTGAGGAGTGAACCAGCAGATAGGATCTGTCACTCTGCCTTTCAACCACGTTTTTAAAAAGATTTATTTATTTATTTGAAAGGCAGAGTTACAAAGGTGGGGGGGGAGAGGGAGAGAGGGAGAGAGGAAGAGAGAGAGAGAAAGTCTTCCATCTGCTGGTTCATTCCCCAAATGGCTGCAATGGCCTGAGTGGAACTGACCTGAAGTCAGGAGCTAGGAGCTTCTTCCAGGTCTCCCATGCAGGTGCAGGGGCCCAAGGACTTGGGCCATCTTCCACTGCTTTCCCAGACCATAGCAGAGAGCTGAATCGGAAGTGAAGCAGCCAAGACTCAAACCAGCACCCATATGGGATGCCAGCACTGCAGCTATGCCACAGCACTGGCCCCTCAAACAAATTAATTAAAAAAATTGCTTCCTATGATGCAAACATAAAGATTTAACACGTTCGTTTTTGTGAGGATTAGAAAAATAGCAAGGGAGGGAAGAAGGGGATATCATTATGTTATTAGACTTGTGTCTATAAATCTGAATCTGTTAAAAACTAACTAAAAATTAAAATAAAAAATATAATACTGGGGTGATCTCAGGACTATGCTATATGTCTATACCAGTTAATACCCACCCTATGCTAATCAGACAAAAAATTTTTTTTAAATTATCTCTTTGAAAGGCAGAGAAAAATACATATAGACAGAGATAGCATCCATCTGCTGGTTCATTCCCCAAACAGCTTCAACAGCCAGGGCTGGGCTAGGCTAAAGCAAGGAGCCAGGAACTCTATCCTGGTCTCCCACATGGGTGACAGAGGCCCAAGCACTTGGGCTTTCGCTGCATTCCCAGGCTCTTTAGCAGGGAGCTGCATCAGGAGTGGAGCACCAGGGACTCAAACCAGCGCTGTGATATGGGGTCTAGTATTGCCAGGGGTGCCTTCACTCACTATGCCATGACACCAGCCCCAGACAAATGGATTTAAAAGTGACGATTTCAAAGCAGCATGTGTGGTGGCATCTGTTATAGGCAGGGGACTTAGGTCTGGGCAAGAGGCAATGGTAATGCCAAGGACGCATTTTTTTTGTTGAATTTGTTGACACCAAAAAATAAAAACCCAACACTACCACCACAAATTTGATTTGCTCCATGGCAGAAGACAGAGGACGCAGTCAGCTCTTGAAGAAAGACTGAGCCGGACCACACAGGCTGGTAAGACCACGAAAGGCTTGTAAACCGCAGCCAAGGAGCTCTACGGTCTTTGCAGAGCAACTACCAAAATACCAGGATTTTATTCGTCATTTCTCATAACATTTTACACCCATCCTGTCTCACAGGGAAGGCAGATTAATCTAAGGAAGTATCAATAACGCATCTTAAATAAGTAACATGTTCCTGAAAAGAATTAAGTTAAAATGCACCAGGTAACAGTGCAGATACAAAGTGCAGCTGGCAACTTAATACAGGACACCAATGCTGAATCGGTATCTTGCCCACCTGTGGTCAGTTCTGGAGCAGTACCTATGGTAAGCTGAATGACAAATGTGAACAAACAAGGCTGAAATACTGAGGGAGAACTCCGCCCCTGCTCTACAGTGATCTGACACAGTGCCAGGGCCAGCTGCAGTACCTATGGTGAGGTCAGACCCCCTCGGCCTCCGGGAACAAGGGGTGCCTGGCCGGTCACAACCCAGGAGCAATGCTGCAGCTGCCGAGGACACGGACTCATATGCAAAGCGAGTGGCAAGAATTCTCTCGATAAGCGGCTCTTGAGTACGTTCCACATCTAGCAAGACTGCGCCAGACTTGCTGGGAGTTGCACGAGAGTCTGCTTGCCGGAGGTCCCAGTACCAGGCACGGGCTCGCACTGCCAGTGAACAGCAAGACCACTGCCTGTGCCGTATGAAAAGCACTGCACTGTCAGCCAGATTTCTGTTCCCATGTCTACAAGAAAAGGGGCTCCTAGTACCATTGGCTTGTGGTTAACCCCTTAGAAACCTGTCCCCAGATATTCCTAGTTCACAGGCAGCCATGGAGCATCCCCCCTGAGCTTAGGGGAATCAGTCCACACAGAAGGAATTCATTCTGGCTTCAGGACTCTTATGCCTGCTTCAAGGGAAAGATGGCGGCTCCCAACTCTAACAGAAGCCTAAAGCTGAGTGTCTTCCCTGACGGGCAACTCACTCGTGTTCTCACTCACTGCCATAAAGAAAATGGTTAGACCAACCCAGGTTTTCTAAAAATCAGATGTGGCATGGTGAGCTGGGGCATCAGCTGTGTGCCATGATGGATTCCTGTAAGGCCCTACAACATGTGGATACCGTGGATTCCCACGTGGTTTCCCACGTGGAAACCATCGTTACACACTAGGACAGAACCTCTCCAACAGCAGGGTCTCCAGCACTTCTTTCCCGGGTGCTAAGTTGGTGGAGAAAACAGACTCTGCTCTTACTTGGCTGGCCACTCAGCAGGGTCTAGGGAAGCACGTCTTTAGCCCCTCCTCTGAGCCCTTGCTCCTGTCCTGAAGGCTGATGCATCTGTCTCTTCTGAGCAAGGTGCTGGTCTAGTCAGGGCACCCTCATTAAAAGGCATCTTTGATGTTCTTGAGCTGGCGCACGGCTAGGTCCACGGGGAGGCTGAACTTGAGGCTGCTGAGGCGACTGAGTAGGTTGAGGGCACTCTCAAAGCCGGTGTGGGCCATGTAGCTCCATGGCTGGTAGTGGGGCTCAATGAGAGAGCCTGACTTGCAGATGAGATTCATCCAGGACACCAGGCGCTGCTCATTCAGCGCCATGCACACCAGGGCCTTCAGCTCCGAGTCTGCACTGCGCTTGAAAGGGTCATGCTCTGTCAGCACCACGTGGATGGCCGTCAGCAGGCTCTGTTTGGGGGTCACAACAGCGCTTCCTGTAACAGGCAGGGCGAAGGACTGGGAGAGCTTCCGGGCTGGGGATTCCACGTATGCGCGGCCGTTCTTAGCATGGTAGTACTTTACAAAGAGCTCCCAGGGGTGCATGGCCTCGGGGGCTGAGGAGAAGGCTGGCAGCAAACAAGCAATGGGGGCCATGACGAGGCTCATCCCCGGGGAGGAGGCGTACAGTCCGTGGGCCAGCAGGTCCCTCACAGCCACGGTCAGCTCCTTCCGGACAGCCGTGGTCAGCTCATCCCTGCCTCCCAGAGAGAGCTCCTGGAGGTTGGCAGAGGTGATGACGTGGTCGCGCGGCTGGTGTCTCAAGGCCAGCTGCCTCACTCTGTCCACAGACACCTCCAGCCTCTTCAACAAGGGTGCATAGTCTCTGTCGGCCTGGCCCCTCTGCCACAGGGATTGAGGGATCTGGCCTGCGGTGCAACCAAACTGGCTAACAGCAAAGATCTGCAGCACTGCCAGCGCTCGCCGCATCAGGTGCAGCCCTGTCTCCCGGGCCCTCCTCACATCTTCTGCCTTCACTGCGGAGAAAAGACAATGGCTCCTCAGCGTGAGGCTGTGAAGGCACACAGGCGCACTCGACACACCCCAGCCCAGCCCAGCCCAGCCCAGGCCGGGCCTGCCAGCCACAGCACGGCTGCCACATGGCGGCAAGAGCTACCTACGGCGTGGCCGGACTTAGACCTTTGGTTAATCATGGCTGTACTGAGACAGAATTCACGTGCCAGATAATTCGCAGATTTAAAGTACACAATTCAGTGGTTGCTAGTGTTTTCAAAGTTTGCAGCCATTACTGCAATCAACTTTAAAATACTTTTCTCATCCCCCAAAAGAAACTGCACCTTCAGCGTTTCCCATCCCGTTTCTCCGTGAGCCCTCGGCAGTCCCGGCTCTGTTTTCTGCCCCGAGATCTGCCTGTCCTGGAAGCTGTACTTACTTTTGCTGTTTCCTGGAGGCAGCCTGCTGCTCCCCGTCCTGCTGGACCCATTTCCTGTCTTCCCGCTGGCCTTGCACTCGCACTGTCCACCACCCGTTTGCAAGGGGCTTCCCACTTCATCTGTGTTCAGAAGTTACAAAGAAGAGACATTCATTTAGCTCCTTTATGGCAAAGTTTTAAAGGACAGTTTTACATGCATGTATAAAAATAAAATATAAATTATGTATTTATTTGTAAGTCAGACTAACAGAGAGAGGTAGAGACAGAGATGAATCTTCCACCCCCTGGTTTACTGCCCAAATGGCCTAAGCTAGGAGCCTGGAACTCCACCCAGGTCTCCCATGTGGGTGGCGAGGGCTCAAGTACTTGTTGGGACGTCTTTTGCTGCTTTCCCAGGAGCATTGGCAGGGAGCTGGATTAGAAGTGGAACAGCTGGCACTGGCACTCTAATATGAAATTCCAGAATCCCAAGCAGCAGGTTAGCCCTCTGCACTACAATCCCAGGCCTGGAAAATATTAAATGGTGCCTGCCACATGACAAGAATTTTACAAATGCTTATATCTTATTTAATTGCATAAATGCTGATCGGCATATAGTAGTTGGCTCAATAAATATTTGCTAAGTGAATGACGCATGGACCATTCTAAGGTGAGGAGAGTTAAACTAAAGAGGTTACTAACCTGCTTGAGGAAGCCAGTAAGCGCCAGAACTGGGATTTTTAACTCTCTGGTTCTAAACCCCACATCCCTTCCATTCTGCCATGCTAACCAAGCTAATTAAACCTCTCACGGTATCAAAACTGGTACCTTTAGGTGTTAGTACTCAGGATAAACATGCGACTATGGTATGCGCCCACCCTTCTCTTCCCATCTCCTCCTCTGACCTTGAATGAAGTTGATGAACATCTCGAGGTCTCGGATCTGGGTTTTCAGCTGCTCAACCAACTGCTCTTTCACTCGGGCTGGGTTGACGATCTGAGCCACGGCTGCATCCACACGCTGACGGAGTTCTTCCATGGACAGGGAACTGATGTCCTCATTCAGATTCATGTCCAGCTTCTTTATGAGCTCATCTATGATCACCTGTTAAGATCATCTGCAATGAGCACACGCTTTGCGACATTCAGGGAGCGTGTCAGGTGGGAGGATAATCTATTTTATTTATTTATTTGAAAGGCAGTAGCCGGCGCCGTGGCTCAATAGGCTAATCCTCCACCTTGCGGCGCCGGCACACCGGGTTCTAGTCCCGGTTGGGGCGCCGGATTCTGTCCCGGTTGCCCCTCTTCCAGGCCAGCTCTCTGCTATGGCCAGGGAGTGCAGTGGAGGATGGCCCAGGTGCTTGGGCCCTGCACCCCATGGGAGACCAGGAAAAAGCACCTGGCTCCTGGCTCCTGCCAGGATCAGCGCGGTGCGCCGGCTGCAGCGGCGGCCATTGGAGGGTGAACCAACGGCAAAAGGAAGACCTTTCTCTCTCTGTCTCTCTCTCTCACTGTCCACTCTGCCTGTCAGACAAAAAAAAAAAAAAAAGAAACAGAGGTACGATCAGTCGATAAGGAGGGCAGGAGAGAGAGGGGGAGAGACAGATCTTCCATCTACTAGTTCACTCCCTACAAAGGCCAGGGCTGGCTCAGGCCAAAGTCAAGAGCTTCATCCCAGTCTCCCATGTGGGTGCAAGGGCCCAGGGACCTGGGCTATCTTCTGCTGCCTTCCCACATCAGCAGGGAGCCGGATCAGAAGTAGAGCAGCTGGGACTGGAAGCGGCACCGATGCTGGCACTGCAGGCAGAGGCTTAACTCATTATGCCACACCAGCTCCAGAAGAATCTTTTTTTTTAAGTTTTGGCTTTTATCTTCTCTTTCCATTTTATTTATTTATTGAAAGGCAGAGTTACGGAGAGAAAGAGACAGAGAGGGAGATATGAGCAGAGAGATCTACCATCTACTGGTTCACACCCCACACAGCTGCAATAGCTGAGACTGGGCCAGGCCGAAGCCAAGTGCCAGGAGCTTCATCCCGGTCTCCCGCATGGGTGTAGGGGCCCAAGGACTTGGGCCATCTTCCATTGTTTTCCCAGGAGCATTAGCAGGGAGCTGGACTGAAAGTGGAGCAGCTGGGACTTGAACCACTGCCTACACGGGATACCGATGTGTTGCAGGCCGTGGCTTAACCCGCTGTGCTACAACACTGACCGGAAGGAGATTTTTTTTTTTTTTTTTTTTTTTTTTTTTGACAGGCAGAGTGGACAGTGAGAGAGAGAGACAGAGAGAAAGGTCTTCCTTTTGCCATTGGTTCACCCTCCAATGGCCGCCGCGGCTGGAGCCAGGAGCCAGGTGCTTTTCCTGGTCTCCCATGGGGTGCAGGGCCCAAGCACCTGGGCCATCCTCCACTGCACTCCCTGGCCACAGCAGAGGGCTGGCCTGGAAGAGGGGCAACCGGGACAGAATCCGGCGCCTCGACCGGGACTAGAACCCGGTGTGTCGGCGCCGCTAGGCGGAGGATTAGCCTAGTGAGCCGCGGCGCCGGCCCCGGAAGGAGATTCTTAACAAATTTTCTATCCTTATATGCAAATCAAACACACACACATCCAAATTTATGAGAGAAAACGGTGCCACTGCTGAGCAAGGGTAAATCCAGTATCTCTACTTCTCTATAGTAGTAACTCCTAGGTCTGCTCTGATAAAAATAGCTACTCTCACTCACTGTGAATTTTGTTTACTAAATGAATCACCTTTTAGTCAGGAGGCCAACAGTGTGACTAACCCAAATAGGTTGATAAGGGGCCGGCATTGCGTGCCTGTGACACGGTTCAACTCCCGGCTGCTCCACTTCTGATCCATCCTTGTTAATGCACCTGGGAAAGCAGGGGAGGATGGCCCAGATGCCTGGGCCCCCCTTACCCATGTGGGAGACCCAGAAGCTCCTGGCTTCAGAGCAGCAAAGTTCTGGTCATTGTGGCCATTTGGAGAGTGAACCAGTGGATGGAAGATCTGTCTCTCTCTGTAACTCTACCTTTCAATAAATAAATCTTAAACACATACACACGCAGAGACTGATGATACAAAAAAGCTTCATATTCTAGTCCCGGTCGGGGCACCAGATTCTGTCCCGGTTGCTCTTCTTCCAGTCCAGCTCTCTGCTGTGGAGGATGTGCAGTGGAGGATGGCCCAAGTGCTTGGGCCCTGCACCCACATGGGAGACCAGGAGAAGCACCTAGCTCCTGGCTTCGGATCAGCGTGGTGTGCCGGCTGCAGAATGCTGGCTGCAGTGGCCATCGGGGGGTGAACCAACAGAAAAAGGAAGACCTTTCTGTCTGTCTCTCTCTCACTGTCCACTCTGCCTGTCAAAAAAAAAAAAAAAAAAAAAAGCAGCTTCATATTTAGTTCCTTAAAAGGCGTCCAAGAAATACAAAGGCATTTCAAAAAGTTTGTGGAAAATGGAATTAAAAGTTAATGTGGAAAAAAAAAATTCATGTGAATTTTTCATGGACTTCTTAATACTCCTATACTGATTTTTCTTAATTTATATTTTTTATTTTCTTTTTAAAGATTTATTTATTTATTTGAAAGGCAGAGTTACATAGAGCCAGAAGTAGAGAGAGAGGTCTTCCATCCATTGGTTCGCTCCCCAGATGGCCACAATGGCTGGAGCTGCACTGATCTGAAGCCAGGAGCCAGGAGCTTCTTCCAGGTCTCCCACATGAGTGCAGAGGCCCAAGGATCTGAGCCATCTTCCACTTCTTTCCCAGGCCATAGCAGAGAGCTGGATTGGAAGTGGAACAGCCAGGACTCGAACTGGCACCCATATGGGATGCCAATACTGCAGGTAGCAGCTTTACCTGCTGAGCCACAGCACCGGCCCCTTTCTTTTATTTCTTAAAGTAAGATTTATTTTATTGATAGGCAAAGCAACAGAGAGAGGGACAGATAGAGACAGACCTTCCATACATGTTTCATGCCTCAAATGGCTGCGACAGCTGGGGCTGGGCCAGGCCAAAGCCAGGAGCCAGGAGCCAGGAGCCAGGAACTGTATCCTGGTCTCTCTCACATGTGGCAGGAACCTAAGTTATTTGGGCCATCCTCGGTTGTCTTCCCAGGCGCAGCAGCAGGAAGCTGGATGGGAAGTGGAGTGGCCAGGACTCAAACTGGCACTCCAACATGGAATGCTGGCATCGTGAGGGGCAGCTTAACCTGCTGTGCCACAATACCAGCCCCTTCTTGTCCTCCTTATCCTCTGTTGTCCTACTCTACCAACTGAAGAAAAACTTCTAGAAAATATCAAGGCCCAAACAAACTAGTAACATTGCTGGGAACAATCTGAAGTCCAGGTGATGTAACTGCAGCCAATTCAGAAACACAGCCACATCACAGGAACACACACGGTAGGCTGCAGCTCTATCTACTGGCAGTGCCACCTGTCTACCTAGGTCTTACTTAAATAGATAGTGTTAATGTTGGTCTGGACTCCTGGAATATTTATCAAGTGGTAGTGAGTGGCAGAAAAAGCTAATTTACATTGTATCATGGGCACAAATAAATTGTTTTAGTGACCAAATGAAGGAAAGTTATTGTTATTATTGGTATTATATTGTTACTTCTATTAATAACAATAACTGCCAAAAAGAAAGAGCTCAATCATATTACAAAATTTTGGAAGCTGCGTTTTCCGTGTGAATAAAGAACGGGTCCCTTTGATTGAGGCCAGCACAGGGATTCTGGGTGAGGCTGAGGGAGAGGAGAGCTGGGAGCGGCTGTGCCAGGACCGCTGGGAGGGCCGAGCCCGGGCAGCAGAGGAGCCCTCCGGAGGCCGCTCACCCGCTGTCTTTCCAGGACCACAGACTGCGGCAAGGAGTCGTAGCTGCCCTCCTGGTAGGCAAACGTCTCCAGGTCATCCAGCTGGGTCTTGAGCTGCAGGATCAGCTTCTTCTGCTTCTCCCGCTGGGCTTCCAGGCGATCCCGCTTCTCCTGTTCACTCTGAGACAAGAAGACAGTGGGGTCTATTTCAGAGAAGAGAAACTCAGGGCCCGTGTTAAAATCCTTTCAAGCCAGCTATGACCAATAGAATAAAGTATCTCCGAATAATCCAAATGAAACACGCAATTCATAAGACAGGTTCAAAAGGAAGCATCATCGTTCATCCGGGGCAGTTTATTAACTGTGCGTTCTCTTTGACAATAGGGCCTTTTGTTAAGACTGCTTGTGTTTTTTTCAAGGTCCACTTAAGGGTAGAGACAACTTAGCCAAGGTATTCTCCCGGAATTAAACCTGCCAATCCGCATAGCCAATTACCACAGTAAAGCTTTGAATGCTTTGTGCAGCCCAAGCTGGTGAAAGAATGTACAGAAAAGCCAGTTTCAAATTCATAGCGTTTTCTTACGGTTCAAAGACCCTCCAGTCAGATCAAGCTGCTTCTGCAAAATCAGAAGAATCAAATGCAGGCTGCTGGCTGTGGGAAAAACAAAAAACAAAAAACAAAAACCCCAAAAGCCAACTGATGGGCCGAGGGGAGGTCGCAATGTTTCTGCTTGCTTTCCCAGACCACGAGTGCTCTTCTCATTGGCCACAGGGAGTTTCCGCGTGTAATTAAAAACCCTTCCCGAGGCGGAAGCCTGCCTGTTCTCACACACTGGTTCCTCCTGACCTTTCCGGAGGATCAAAAACAAAAAGCAAAACCAGTGACTCCCCTGAGGGTGTAGAGCTGCAGTTTAAACTAGAAGTCTGTACGGTTTTACATTTAACCTTAAAATAGTACTTACCAACCCCTCCAGAAGTAAGGTGTGAGAGAGAACAAATGAAAACAACAGATTAACGTTTGGCTCCAGCATTTACCTGAAAAGCAACTCTTGCTCCGGCCTGGCTCAACCAGAAAGCAAGGCTTTCCTCAGAGGGCCCCCAGCCTTCCCCACCTCTCCTGCAGGTGGCGCTGCAGCTGGGTCCCCCAGGCAGCACGGCTCACCTCGCACTGGGTACACACTCCCGTCACACTGTGCAGGATTCTGCCTCTCCTAGATAAGGACTCCTGCAGGATAAGGCTTGGACTTTGAACCCTCAACGCCACCTCCCTGCCTGGCATGGAGGGAGCTCTCAGGACACATTTGTTGCACAGAACAGCAGATCCAAACAGATCCTGCGACAGAACTTCTGGAACTAGCACAAGAAAACGTTGGGAAAATTTTAGAGGTTTTTTTTTTTTTTTTCTTTTTAATTTGAAAGGCAAGGTGACACAGAAAGAAAAGTGTTCCATCCGCTGGCTCACTCCCCAGTTGCTGGGGCTGAGACAGACTGAAACCAGGAGCCTGGAACTCCATTTGGGTCTCACATGTGGGAGACAGGGACCCAAGCACTTGGGCCTCAGTCCTTCCCTCCTAAGATGCATTATCAGGCATGAGTGGGAAACAGGGGCTAAGCAGCGCTCCCATATGGGATGTGGGTGCCCCAAGCAGCGGTTTAACTCCACAACACCTGCCCCCACCTTCCCCCCTTTCATCATATCCCAATGTTGGGAAGCCAAGGAAGAAAGAGGGCAGCCATAAATCCCGAGTCTGCCTTCATGACCTCGTCAGCTGAACGCTGGCTTGCCGTGGTAGCCACAGTACGCTATTTGCTGGACTGTAGTGTTAGAAGTTTCACAGGACAGAACAGTGAACTCCAGTGCGAGGCAGGTACAAACTCGGGTACGAAGTGAGGTAGGAGAAAATACTGGTTTAACAGTTTTGGAAGTGAGAAGCAAACCATTCAGCTCAGAGATGTCTCCTACTTTGTGCCCCCCGTTCACCCGTCAATGTAAGCACACAGGATTACAGCTCCTTTTATGTGGATCAAGCACTACTTTTTTCAGGGGTGGGGAACCCTTCTTCTGCCATTTGGGTGTTTATAACATCATTCGTGGGCCGTACAAAATTATCAACTTAAAAATTAGCCTGCTACAGGTTTATTGGATTCGGAGTCCCGCAGCGGGTGCCTTGGCAGGGGCCCGTGTGGTACACTGCCCTCAGCGTGTAAACGAACAAGGAAGAGGGCTACATCCACACAGAACCTTTGGCGCGGTTGGCTACAGGGACCTTATCCTTTCTAGTCCTTACGTCTGGCAATGTGAGGCGGCTGCTCTTTGTAGGAGCTGTGGGTACACGGAGAGAGGCAGAACAGTAAATAAGCGAGTTGATACCTGCTATGGGTAAATCGTGGCTAACTACCCCACGTGATCGTGAAGAAGGCCACGTGTGGGCGCAGAGAGAGCACGGCTAAATTCCTCCAGCGAGCTGTCGACGGCTGGGCACGCGCAGAGCCAAAGCCTGGATGGAAACTTTCCCGCAGTGTGGGGTGCACCTGCTCGCGTCGCTTCTCGGTGTGTGGGGAACAGAATCCACCTCGCCACGGAGACCAGAGACCACCGCTCGGAACCCAGCAGGATGGGCGAGCAGGCTGATGTCCCTTCCCCGGCCATTCCCCCCCACCCAGGGTCGGGGTGCCCGATCGGTACGCTCTCAGGGCCAAGCAGGCGGGGGCAGCGCTGCCTCGCTCGCTCACAGCTCCCCCGCGCCTCCTGCACACCTTCCGGGCACACCGCGCACCCTCAGGTTCCCAGGGCTCTGTCCCCTTGTCCCCGTCTCCGGTCTCCTGGTCTCCGACCCACGCCTTCTCACTATTTCTGCCTCCCGTCCGCGCCAGCATCCCAACTCCCCGCCTCCCATATCCCTCGGGGCCCCGTGCCAGCCGCTCACCGGGTCCTGGCCCCGCAGCCGTGGCCGGTCTCCCGGCAGCCCATCGCCCTCGTCGCTGGCAGGGTCTCCGGGCCCCTCGTAACCCAGGACGTGGGGGCAGCCGCGGAAGGCGAAGTCTTCGAGCTCGCGCAGCAGGCGCTGCTGCTCCGCGGGCGCCCCGCGCACCACCTGGCGCAAGCGGAACTGCACCTGCGCGAAGTGCGAGGACAGCGCGAGCAGTGCCGAGTCCAGCCGCCGCCGCTCGGCCCGCAGCCGCCTCAGCGTCCGGCCCGGCGAGTCCGGCGGGGATCCCGGGGCCGCGCCAGGCTCCTCGGCCGCCGCTTCTTCCGAGAAGGCAGCCGCCCCAGGCCCAGCCTCTGCCACCGCCCCCACGGGGGCCCAGCGCACCGCCTCGCACGGTGGCAGCGACTCCTCTTCCTCCTCCTCTACGTTCTTAGCCTTCGGCCCAGCGGCCGCCACCACAGTGACCGGCTCCGCAGCCGCCTCGGCAGCCGCCATCTTCCCGGAAACCCCGCTGCACGTCAGCCGCGCCCCTCGCTGCCATGGCAACGGCGCGCGGGCAGGGAACCCGGGCGGAGCGGTGGGTGGGGCCGGCCGTTCCGAGGTCCCTGAGGGCCGGTCTCTCCCGAGCCTTACTTCGGGCCAATAATGTTTTATCGAGAGTCTATGGAGCCCCGAATGCTACTCTTTGGGCCGAGTGGTGAATGAGGCCGGAACAAGTCATTGCCTGCCTGCACTGGGCGGTTGGGTCGTTCATTCCTGCTCTGTGCGTTTCTGGAGACCCCACGAGGCCGAGGGCTACAAGGATCATGCACGCCCACAGTCCCTCCCGATTGCAGATGCCTTGGCTGTCGAGCCGCGTTCCCCTTTCTCAATCCTTCCCCCCGACCATATAAGGCGCGGCAGCTGCTGCGGACGTCCCCGGGATCTAAAGATAGCGGCCCCTGCCTGGGACTCCAAAGGCCACCAGGGCCCCGGAGCCGCCATGGCACGGTGAGTGTGTGCGGCAGCATTACTCTCCGCGGCCCTTTTCCCCCTGGAAATTCCCTGCCCGTCCCGCGTCTGGTGCGTCTTTGCACCCTCCGGGCTCCGTGAGGCCCCAGGGGGAGCCCCAGACCCCACGGCGCGCGGGGAGCTGTGACTGGAATGTTCTCCCAGGCGCTAGCCTCGCACTTTGATTCTCGCCAGGTTCAGCCTCGCCACATCCACTCCGTCACTTCCTTCTGTTCTCAGTTAGCTCCACCTTGACCGGACCTGGACATCAGATGTCCCTGTATTGTCCCCTGCCCCCACCTTTCCCAACTGCCCCAGACTTCCCTCTCCCAGCCCGCTGAAGCCCCCACCTGACCCCTCTTCAGGCAGCATGCCCGGACCCTGTGGTACGACAGGCCCAAGTATGTGTTCATGGAGTTTTGCGTGGAGGACAGCACCGATGTCCGTGTGCTCATTGAGGATCACCGCCTTGTGTTCAGGTAACCCCCTCTGGAGGGTCCAGCACCCCCCCCCCCCGAGCCTTCCCCTCGTGCGACTGCCCACACACCCGGTCTCCCCCGTCTCCTCAGCTGTAAGAATGCCGACGGGGTGGAGTTGTACAATGAGATTGAGTTCTATGCCAAGGTGAACTGCAAGGTAAGGGTGGCGGCACAGTGCGGTCTGGGTGGGAGGCTGCCCAGAGCACCTGGAGATTGGTTCTGCAACTCAGACTCTTCAGAGCGAGGCTGTTTGTCTGGCAGGACTCCCAAGATAAGCGCTCTAGCCGCTCCATTACTTGCTTTGTGAGAAAATGGAAGGAGAAGGTAGCCTGGCCCCGGCTCACCAAGGAGGACATCAAGGTGAGTGTCGGGAAGTGGCCTGCTCCTTCTGTGTTCCCGGTCCAGGTACCAGGGACCCAGTTAGGTCTGGGATTGCCCTTGCCTCCTCTCCAGCCAACAATGAATAACTCACCAGGTTTTGCCTATTTGACTTTCTAAATATATATATTTTAAAAGATTTATGGGGGCCAGCTCTGTGGCATAGTAGGTAAAGCCGTCACCTGCAGTGCAATATGGGCACTGGTTCAAGACCTGGCTGTTCCACTTCTGATCCAGCTCTCTGCTGTGGCCTGGGAAGGCAGTGGAAGATGGCCCAAGTGCTTGAGCCCCTGCACCCGTGTGGGAGACCTGGAGGAGGCTCCTGGCTCCTGGCTTCAGATCGGCCCTGCTCTGGCTTTTGTGGCCAATTGGGGAGTGAACCAGGGGATGAAAGACCTCTATCTCTGTCTCTGCTTGTATGTAACTCTGCCTTTCAAATCAATTAATCAAATTAATCAATCAATTTAAATTTAATTAAATTAATGAGATAAATTAGATTAAATCTTTGAAAAAAGATTTATGTATTTGAAAGGCAGAAGAGAGAGAGATATATCTTCTGTCCTGTGGTTCACTCACCAAATGACTGCAACAGCCAGGGCTGGGCCAGGCTACAGTTAGGAGCAAGGAACTCCATCTGGATCTGCCAGGTGGGTGGCGGGAACCCAAGCACTTGGGCCATCATCAGCTGCCTCCAGGTGCGTTAGCCGGGAGCAGGATCCCTGCACGGAGTAGCTGTCACTTGAAGTAGCACTCAGACGTGGGATGCAGACGACCTAAGCAGCGGCTTAGCCTTCTGTGACCGCTCAAATATATTTGAGTCATTACTTCATTTCTTCCTAGTCCAGACCTCACCTACGAAGGTTTGCTGGAGGGTTTGTTCATATGTTGGTCCCACCCAATCCTTCCTCTGCGTTGTCCCCAGCATGTTCTGTCTAAAACATGCACTTGACCTTGTCACTTTCCCACTTAACACCTTCAGTGAGGGTTGGACAGTGTGGCGGAGTGGATCAAGCCGCCACTTGGGATGGCTGTATCCCACTTTGGAATGTTGGTTTGAGTCCCAGTTAATCTGCTTCCAAACCAACTTCCCGTTAATGTGCCTGGGAAAGTAGCAAGAGATGACCAAAGTCCTTGGGTCCTTGCCATCAGTGTGGGAGACCCAGATACGTTTTCAGGCTTCTGGCTTTGGCTTCAGAAGCCCCAGCTGCTGCTGGCATTTGGGGAGTGAACCAGCAGATGGATCATCTTTCTCGCTGACTCTCCGTCTCTCTCTCTGTCTCTTTACCTTTTGAATCAATAAATAAATTATATATGTACTTATTTATATATATTTATGCATATATATGCTTATATATATTTTAAAGACCTTTCAATGACTTTTTCTCCTCTGAAGGTTGAAAAATGACCACCTGCTGGTTGGACCTGGCTCTCTAGTTTGTTTTAGCAATTTTCACAATGTTAACAATTACTTTGTTTGCTGACGTTTACGATTTTTGATTAGTCACTGACACTGTAAAATGTGAACTTTTCACCGGAGAGTCTAGATTTTTGACTTCAAGGTCTTTGAAACTGGGAGAATTTGGCCCTGATGGTATAGATTCCCAGATGCCTGGGCGGAAGCTTTACACAGGGCATGTGCTCCCCTCTCTTTGATCCTTTTCGGTGCCTCCCTGGCTCTTTTCGGCTTTTGCACTTGTGACTCCTGTCCTGTAGGTGAAGCCCAAGCACTACTGCATGATACACAAGCTCATCGCAAGCTGTTTGCCTCAAACTTTGCATTCCAGCCATGGCAAGCTGCGCTCAGCTCTTTTGCACAGACCAACTAACTGTATCTTTGCTCAAGCTGTGGCTTCTTCCTAGGCCACCGTCACCACTACCGTCATCCTCCTAGCCTCCGTGTATATGTCAAGGCCCTGATGCTGTAAGAAACCTGAGTTCCCGGAACTCCCTTCTGGGTCCCCAGGATGGCCTCTGTATAGCCTCACTACCACACCGTCGTACAATGACTTATTAGCGAATATCTCCCTCCTCACTTACTTCCTGGTGGCTGGGACAGCGTGATAAACATTATGATAGTCTTAATGCCAAGCTCAGAGTCTGGCCCATAGCATATGATCAGAAAATATCTGTTAAATGAATGTCTGAATAACGTCTTGTCTGTAAAAATGTGGGAACTTTGGAACATGGGCCTGAGAGGGTTGTCTCTGCTTCCAAGGAAGGCGCTTCTTTGCCCTGCTTGGCTGATGCGTGTGATGCTTTAGGATCCACCTTTCCACATGTGACGTCTGCTCCTAGAGGGCAGAACCTCTATGCTTTTCCAGACCCTACCATGCCTGGTGCTTGGCACTTAGTGAGTTCCTGGCTCGTGTTTGTGGGTCGCGATGTGACATGGCAGCCTGGTGGGGTTGATGAGAGCGGTGCTGTTGGGAGGACTGCACCCTCACTGGCCCTCTTCCCCCCCACACCCCGCTATGTACGCACCCAGACTCCTCCTCCTGGCTGTGACGCCTGTGCTTCCTCCTGCAGCCGGTGTGGCTCTCTGTAGACTTTGATAACTGGAGAGACTGGGAAGGGGATGAAGAGGTGGAGCTGGCGCAGGTGGAACACTATGCAGAGGTAGGTGAGAGGGCACCTGCTGTTTCTGCCCATTTTGATCGTTGTGTCTGTCTCTACCCCCGTGTCTCTGGAGGACTGGCATCAGGGCCAGGCGGGCTAGCAGTTCTGTGTATATTTTCCCCCATATTTTGTGTAGTGTTTGTTCAGTAGGGATGAGAGGAGTGCATAGGAGTGAAATTCACATACCTAGATTTCCTTACTATTCACGGCATAGAGCTACGTTCTAAAAAGGTTTGACAAAACCTTTCCCACTTTTCTGTCATTGCTGTTCTTTCTTCTGCTTTCCTTGTGTTCTTATTTCTTCCCAAGCCAGATAGCAGCATGGGAAGTTGACAGCAGGCAGTACTCACATTCACATCAGGGTGGTGTTTGGTGTAGCAGTTAAGGCGCAGTTAAGGAGCCTGCGTCCCATACCACAGTGCCTGGGTCTCAGTCCTGGCCCTGCTGCCTGATTCCAGCTTCCTCCCAGTGTGCACCCTGAGGGGGGCAGTGATGGCTCAAGTGGTTGGGTCCCTAACGCCCACATGGGAGACCTGGATTGGGTTCTTGTCTCCTAGCTTTGGCCTCATCCACCTCAGACCATTGTAGGCATTTGGGGAATGAATCAGCAGATAGGAGTCCTCTCTTGCTTTCACACTCTCTTTGTCTCTCTGCCTTTTATGTAGATGAAAACTAGGGGTGGGCATTGTGGTACAGTGGGATGAGCCACCATTTGGATTACCTGCATCTGGTATCAGAGTGCCTGGCATTGAGTCCTGCCTCTGCTGCTTCTTCTTTTTTAAATATTTATTTTATTTATTTGAAAGACAGAGTTACAGAGAGAGACAGAGACAGAAAGAGAGAGAGTGAGAGAGATGTCTTCCATCCACTGGTTCACTCCCCAAATAGCTGCAATGGCCAGAGATGAGCCAATCTGAAGCCAGGGGCCAGGAGTTTCCTCCGGGTCTCCCACATGCATGCAGGGGCCTAAGGACTTGGGCCATCCTTCTCTGCTTTCCCAGGGCATTAGCAGGGAGCTGGATCAAAGTGGAGTAGCCAGGTCTTGAACTGGCGCCCATATGGGATGCTGGCACTGCAGGCCAGAGCTTTAACCTGCTGTGAACACCAGCCCCTACCTTTGCTTCTAATCCAGCTTCCTGCTCATGTGTGCCTGGGAAGGCAGCAGAAGATGGGTCAAGCTCAATTAGTTGGGTCCTGATTCCCAAAATGTAGGACTGGGGTGGAGTTCCTGGCTCCTGGCTTCAGCCTGACCCATCCCAGGCGGTTGTGGACATTTGGAGAGTGAACCAGTGCATGAAATCTCTTTCTCTCCCTCTATTGCTTTGCCTTTAAAATAAACAAAAATAAATGAACTTTAAATAAATAAATTTAAATTAAAAAAAAGAAATTCGTACCAGAAAATAAGTAACCAATTCCCAATAAATTGAACCTTGTCATGTGTTATTTGGCTTCAGAATTTCAGCTAGGATTTATTTACGTTACAAAAATACTAAGAGACCCCAGTCTGTATTAGTGACGAGGGTGCACTGTGTGGATGTGTGTTTAAATTTCCTCTTGAGAAGGGGATTAATTGACTTTTCTCCAATTCATTCCAGTGGTGTCCTAGGGCCTTTGCAAATGGGAGCAGTAGCCCGGCTGGCTGCAGCTGGGAACCTCCCCTGCGCCCTCAGGATGCAGATTGCTTTCCGCAGCCGCTTCTGTCTGACTCTTTTCCCTTCCCTCTAGCTTTTGAATAAGGTCAGCACCAAGAGAGCGCCCCCCACCATGGATGACCTGGATGTAAGTAAAGTCTCCCCGGCATCGTTGGCTTGTTTTTAACCCTTAGAAACAGCACACTGGAGAGCTCCTGCCCCGGTCCTTAGTGCACAGCAGTTCTCGGTGCCTGTTAACTCAGTTTAACACAAGAGGCTTTAGAAAACGCAGAAGGGACCCTTGGCTTCCCTCGCCCCCCTGCTTCCCCATGCTGGGGCAGGCCTGGCCCGGCTGAGTGCCTTCGCTACTGTAGGGAGCAGAGGCATAAGCGGAAGCTCAGACTAAATGAGGCATGACGGAGTACTGCTCACTGCGGGCCCTTGTGTGTTGTCTGAGGGTGAAACCCTCCCATATCAGCGTCCTAGGAGGCTGTGTGGTTCAGAAAATCACGAAAGGATGACCCGAGTCTTCCCTCCTCGCAGAGCTCATGTGTACTTTGTCTCCCCCCAGGATGATTCTGACAGTGCCGACGCACCAAGTACCTGACCGTGTGCCAGCAGAGCTGGAGCAGAGGGCTCTGAAAAGCCAGGGTTGGGGCCTGTGTGAGCTCTTCACCCCAAGGGCCTCTGGGATCGCTGCTCTTTAGCAAGGGTCCCCCCTCGCACTTCCTGTTGTCTTCAGAGGCACTGGGCTTGGGCACTGCATCGGATGGCTGGTGGGCGCCTGGTCTCCTCTTAATCCACTTACAGTCTCTGTGCTGGGGCTGCTCCATTGTTCCACTATTTGGTGTACACAGCTGTGCAAAAGCCAAAGAAGAAAGAAGAAAGGTGGATGATAACAAATCTCTCGTGTGCATGTGTGTGGCAGAGGAACAAGTGGGTGATAATAAATGTGCAGGAGCTGTCTGTCTGGTCTGCACTTGTCTTTCCTGGGAGCGAGGCTTTTCCCTCTCTAGGGTTTCTCTCAAGGGGGGGGGGGTTTCAAAAGTCTGAGCTTTCACCATTGAGGCTGGAGGAAGAGTGATGTTGCAGACAGACTTGTAACCACACTGGGGGACTTCCTCTCGCCCAGATCTGCGCTCTGATTTCTCGTAGCTAGTACTGTCATCCCTCGGACCACCCAAGCTGGCTTCCTGCACGCTCCAGAAATCTCTTCATAATTTTCTTTAATGTCTGCGTGTTTATTCCTCCTACAACAGCCACTTTACCCATCCACATTTCTTGAGTGCCTGATGTGTACAAAGCACTGTGACTTAAACAAGATGCAGTACCCACAGACGCTGCTCTGGAACGCGCGGAAAGTGCTGGCATTTACTGGAAAAGTGAACTTTGAAACTTACGTAAGCTGGATATGACATAGCTTAAAAAATAAACTTATGTAGAAGGGTATAACATTTTCCTTTAAAGATTTATTTTATTTGAAAGGCAGAGTTCCAGAGAGAGAGAGGGAGGGAGGGAAATAAAGAACGATAAAGATATAAAATGTAAAACAAAATTTGCAGTATCTTAGTTGGGACTGATAAAACTGTTAACGGTTTTATCTGCTACATACTAGAGTGTATTATAATACAATATCATAGGGCCCACGCTGTAGCGTAGTGGTTAAGTCTGCCGCCTGCAGTGCCACCATCCAATTTGGGTGCTGGTTCTAGTCCTGGCTGCTCCACTTCTGATCCAGCTCTCTGCTATGGCCTGGGAAAGTGGTAGAAGATGGCCTAAGTCTTTGGGCCTCTGCACCTGTGTGGACAACCTGGAAGAAGCTCCTGGCTCCTGGCTTCGGACAGCCCAGCTCCGGCCATTGCAACCAATTGGGGAGTGAACCAGCGGATGGAAGACCTCTCTCTCTCTCTCTGCCTTTCCTTCTCTCTCTGTGTAACTCTGGCTTTCAAATAAATAAATAAATCTTTAAAAAAAATACAATACCATGCCTATGATGACAGTGTCCTGTGCCACAATTTCCATAATATTTATAATTTATATAGTTATGACATAATCACACATAGAACATAGGGAGAATAAATATGCAGTATCACATATTAGTTTACAGAAATCTGATACATACAAGCAGCGGGAATGTGTGTGTGCAGCTGGAGTCTGCGTACGTCTTGCCTGTGCTGTTTGCACTGCATTCAGTCATGGTTGTATAACGACGGTCCCGTCCACGGCTGGATTTACCACGGCGGTCTCATAAATGATATTGCCTACTGCCGTCATAACCGTCTTACTTTGTGTAAGTACACTGTGTGATGTTTGCACAAGGAAGAACTCCCCTAACGACACGTTTCTCAGAACATATCCCCTTTGCTGAGTGGCATGTGCATGTATTGAAGGTCTTTCCAAATCAGCACACATAGAGCTTGTTTTTTTTTTTTTTTTTTAATAAACTTCATGAGGTTTACTTATCTATTTATTTGAAAGGCAGATTGACATAGAGGAAGTGGTAGAGATCTTCCATTTGCTGGTTCATTCTTCAAATGGTTGCAACATCCAGAACTAGGCCACACTAAAGCCAGGAGCCAGGAGCTCCATCCAGATCTTGTGTGTGGGTGGAAGGGACCCAAATAGTTACGCCACCCCCTGCTGCCTCCCAGGCACATGAGCAGGAAACTGGATGGGAAACAGAGGCAGGACTCAAATCCAGCACTATGATACGGGATGCAGGCACCCCAAGCAGAGGCTTATCTGGCTGTGCTATAATGCCCACCTCAAACTTAATTACATTCTGCAAAGCCTTTTTAAAAAGTATAGTTATTTGAAAGGCAGCATGGCAGACATTCTGTCGGTTGGTTCACTCCCCAGACACCTGTGACAGCCCTTGCAGGGCCAGGCTGGAGCTGAGGGCAGGAACTCCATCTGGGTCGCTGTGTGCTGGTGGCAGGAACCCGAGTGCCTGAACCATCAGGAAGCTTCAGTGGGAAGCTGTACTGGAGTCAGAGTAGTCAGGGCTCAGCCTGGCCCTCCAGTAAAGTGTGGGATGCCGTGTCCCAGGCGTCAGCGCTACCTCCGTGCCACCATGCCTGCCCCAGCACACACACTCTACCTCACTCATTCTTTCCATGGCTACAGGAGCCATGGAATGCGTTCTCCATAACTTAGCTGGTTCCTTTCTGAGGGATATTTAGGTTGATGTCCGTCTGTTTCAATTTTCAGACAGTGATGAGCATTTAAAGGGACGAGGGTTGTGGAACAGCAAGTTGAACACTGCTTGGGACAACTGCATATCGGAGTGCCAGTTTGAGTCCTTCCACTCTGCAGGCCCCATGTGATTCCTGCTAGATCTCTGTGTGTCACTCTGCCTTTCAAATTAATAAGTGAATCTTTTAAAAAACAAATAGATCTTGGGGTGGGTGTTGAAAGCTAGCTGTTAAGCTGCCTGCGTCCTGCAGTGCTGTGCCTGGGTTTCACCCCTGGCTTGGGCTCATGGCTCCTGCTGGTGTGGATCCCAGGAGGCGGGATGATGGCTCCAAGCTGAGGGCCTGCCACCCATGTGCAGGACCTGCACTGCATTCCTGACTCAGGGCCCAGTTCCAGCCTTTGCAGGCATTTGGGGAGTGAACCAGCAGATGGGAACTCTGTCTTTTTGTCTCTCATCGACTCCTGTCTTCCCAATAAATAAACATTTAAAACATTAGAAAATATGGGTAAGCAATTGGTGCAGTGGTTACGAACCTTGGGATACCCATATACCCTATCGGAGTGCCCAAGTGTGAATCCTCGCTCTACTTCCGATTCTGGCTTCCTGCTGAGTACAGTGGTAAGGGCACAGGTGCTTGGTGTCTGCCACCCACATGAGAGACCCGGATTGAGTTGTGAGTTCCTGGCTTTGGCCTGGACCAGATCTGTGCGTTGAGGATATTTGAGGAGTAAACCAGCAACAGACGACAGCTTTATGTTTCTCTTTCAAATAAAATGAAAACAAAACTTAAAACTAATAGGTCTTTACATATTTGTGCAAGAATATCAATACAGTAAATTTCTAGAAGTGGAACTGTTAGGTCAAAGAACAGATACATTTAAACATTTTTTTAAGGTTTGCTTATTTTTGTTTAAAGATTGTATTTATTTATTTGAGAGGTAGAGTTACAGAGAGAGAGAGAGAGAGAGAGAGGTCTTCCATCTGCTGGTTCTCTCCTCAAATGGCCACGTGGCCAGAGCTGTGCCCAACTGAAGCCAAGAGCCAGGAGCTTCTGGGTCTCCCACGCGGGTGCAGGGACCCAAGCACTTGGGTCATCTTCTACCACTTTCCAAGGCCATAGCAGAGAGCTGGATCAGAAGAAGAGCAGCCGGGACTAGAACCAGCACCCATTTGGGATGCTGGCAATACAGGTCGAGGCTTAGCTCACTAAGCCACAGCGCTGGCCCACATTTAAGCATTTTGATAGCTGCTTCCAAGTTGCCCTGTGATGTACAAACTCCCACTGCCACCAGCATTTCATTTTTTTTTGACAGAGTTAGTGAGAGAGACAGAGAGAAAGGTTTTCCTTCTGTTGGTTCACTCCCCTAATGGCTGCTACGGCTGGTGTGCTGCACCGATCCGAAGGCAGGAGCCAGGTGCTTCTCCTGGTCTCCCATGTGGGTGCAGGGCCCAAGGACTTGGGCCATCCTCCACTGCACTCCCGGGCCAGAGCAGAGAGCTGGCCTGGAAGAGGGGCAACCGGGACAGAATCCAGCGCCCCGACCGGGACTAGAACCCAGGGTGCCGGTGCCACAGGCAGAGGATTAGCCTAATGAGCCGCGGCGCCAGCCAACATTTCATTTTTTTAAACCTTTTAGATGTTTGATGAAAAAAATTGGAACCTTATTTTTTTTTTATTTTTATTTTTTGACAGGCAGAGTGGACAGTGAGAGAGAGAGAGAGAGAGAGAGACAGAGAGAAAGGTCTTCCTTTTGCCGTTGGTTCACCCTCCAATGGCCGCCGCGGCTGACGCGCTGCGGCCGGCGCACCGCGCTGATCCGAAGGCAGGAGCCAGGAGCCAGGAGCCAGGTGCTTCTCCTGGTCTCCCATGTGGGTGCAGGGCCCAAGCACTTGGGCCATCCTCCACTGCACTCCCTGGCCACAGCAGAGAGCTGGCCTGGAAGAGGGGCAACCGGGACAGAATCCGGCGCCCTGACCGGGACTAGAACCCGGTGTGCCGGCGCCGCTAGGTGGAGGATTAGCCTAGTGAGCCGCGGCACCGGCCCCTGGAATCTTATTTTTTTCTGAAAATAAATGGTTCATATTTCTATTAATGTGCTCTATCCATGTCTTTTTTATTTTTATTTTTTTTTAATTTTTTTTTATTTATTTGAAAGATAGAGTTACAGAGAGAAGTAGAGACAGAGAGAGGTCTTCCATCTGCTGGTTCACTCCCCAGATGGCCGCAATGGCTGGAGCTGCACCGATCCGAAGCCAGGAGCCAGGAGCTTCTTCAGGTCTCCCACGTGGGTGCAGGGGCCCAAGGACTTGGGTCATCTTCTACTGCTTTCCCCATGCATAGCAGAGAGCTGGATTGGAAGTGGAGCAGCCAGGACTCAAATTGGCGCCCATATGAGATGCCAGCGCTTCAGGCTAGGGCTTTAACGCGCTGTGCCACAGCGCTGGCCCTGTATCCATGTCTTTTTTTTTTTTTTTTTAAAGTTTATTTAATCAATTGAAAGGCAGAGTGACAGTGAGGGAGAGATAGAGAAATCTTTCTTGTCGGTTCATTCCCTAAATGCCCACAATTGCTTGGGCTGGCCAGGTGGAAGCCAGGAGCTGGGTTTCCCATGTGGGTGGCAGGAACCAAAGCCCCTGACCCCTCATCTGCTGCCTCCCAGATGCATTAGCAAGACACTGAATCAGAAGACAAAGTGGGGGGCCTGCACTGGGACGCAGCAGGTTAAAGCCACAGTGCTGCCCCAATATTAGTTTTAATCCATGTCATGTT